ATCTATTCGCGAGTGAAACGAGGCTAATAACCAAGTGAACTCAAGTATCGTGAGAGACTTAGGCTAATAACCGAGTCGATCACACCTATCGTCGAGAGCAAGGCCGTGGCGAAGCCGTGATCGAGACAAGTCGAGGACACGAACATCCGATCCTTCATCAACTGCGCATCGCGCCTTAGCGCGCGCGTTAAGTACTCGCTAAGCACGCACTTAGGCGATGCTTAGTGACATGATCAGACCAAACTTCCACCTTAATATTACCGTGAGGAAAAATGCAAGGATAACCGTTGGGTGTGAAAGTGGGGTGATGAATCACCTATGTGCTTGCACACACGGCGCGCCACGGACGCACGGGCGATGACTAAGCCCGTGCATGGCCGCCACCTCAGCAATGACTAAGCCAAACTCACCCACATTTCAGCCACGTTTACGCCACTTGGTGTTAGGAGACCCAAGGTCATCAATCACCTCCTTTCACCCCAAATTAACCCACGATTTTACTCCTTTAAATAACCGAGCATGTGGAACGTTTTCCTCATGCATTTTCACGTGAGTTCAGCCAACTTTCAGCGTACTAAATAGAGAGAAAATAGTAAGGAAATATTGTAGAAAAATAGTGTAAAAATAGCTGAGCATTGCCGAAGCAAGGGGGAAGCAAGTACCCACGCATTCAAGCACCGAAACCGCACGCAAGCCATCGTGCAATCCTCGACCGAACTGAAGGGTATACCCCTATTTACCTTCTTTTTATATGGTTAAGCTCATAGTAGTAAGATCACGTCGATGTCATGTTGTTCGGTCCAAGTCCTTTTAGCAAAATGACCTCGGAGGTGCTATATAAGCCCTTCCGAGTAACTTCAGTTTTTAACCGGCAAGTCCCGAACGCTTTATGCATAATTATGTTATTTTAGTCAAAACATGATCAGTCATATGTGGATTGCCGGAAAAAGTAGCCGGACGGCCGGCGAAACGCCGACCGTGATGCCTACCGCACGCGGTGTGGGCGCAGGCACGCCCGGCAAGCTAGCGAATGCATAGGCAGCGTCCGCGCGCCCAGTAACGCGCACGCATGCCTAGCACTCGGCAGCCAAGCGTCGCGATGCGCAGTCGTGTGCGTAGACGTGCACAGTGCACGCACACACACGCGGCAACGCGTTACCGCAACCGTCCACCCAGTCCGCGTACACAGCGACGCGTCCCACGCCCAGCAGCGTGTTCCGCGGTGCATGTACGCACGCCAGCAGCATACCATGCACGCTGGCCAGTCACCCCGCACGCCAGCACGCCCAGCAGCGTGCTAGCAATGCAC